TGGTATTTGGTATTTTATTAGGATCCCCATTAGCTGTTGCGAAAGCAGCAGCTACTCTTCCTGGGGTCCACACGAAACATGAAACATGACATAATACAGAACATTAATAGACAAGAACAGCTCAAGGACAGAACTACAAACATTTAGAAAAGGCACACATAGCTTACATATCAATATATACACACAAAATATCTAGGTCAAATAGGGGAGAGGCGGTTGTGCCGTGAGGTGTTGCTTTATCTGTTTTTTTAAACCAGGTTTGCTGTTCATTTGAGCAATATGAGCTGCAGCGGAGTTCCATGCAATAATGGCTCTATGTAATACTGTACGCTTTCTTCAATTTGTTCTGGATTTGGGGACTGTGAAAAGACCCCTGGTGGCATGTCTGGTGGGGTACGTGTGTGTGTCAGAGCTGTATGTAAATTGGAAATAATTTGGGATTTTCAACACATTAATGTTTCTTATTTACATTTTTACATTTACATTTTAGTCATTTAGCAGACGCTCTTATCCAGAGCGACTTACAGGAGCAATTAGGGTTAAGTGCCTTGCTTAAGGGCACATTGACAGATTTTTCGGTTACTGGCACAATGCTCTTACCCACTAAGCTACCTGCCGCTACCTGCCGCCTTATAAAAAGAAGAAGTGATGCAGTCAGTCTCTCCTCAACTCTTAGCCAAGAGAGACTGGCATGCATAGTATTTATATCAGCCCTCTGATTGCAATGAAGAGCAAGACATGCCGCTCTGTTCTGGGCCAACTGCAGCTTAACTAGACATCTTTACAACTACAGTGGGGAGAACAAGTATTTGATACACTGCCAATTTTGCAGGTTTCCTACTTACAAAGCATGTAGAGGTCTGTAATTTGTATCATAGGTACACTTCAACTGTGAGAGATGGAATCTAAAACAAAAATCCAGAAAATCACATTGTATGATTTTTAAGTAATTAATTTACATTTTATTGCATGACATAAGTATTTGATCACCTACCAACCAGTAAGAATTCCGGCTCTCACAGACCTGTTAGTTTTTCTTTAAGAAGCCCTCCTGTTCTCCACTCATTACCTGTATTAACTGCACCTGTTTGAACTCATTACCTGTATAAAAGACACCTGTCCACACACTCAATCAAACAGACTCCAACCTCTCCACAATGGCCAAGACCAGAGAGCTGTGTAAGGACATCAGGGAAATAATTGTAGACCTGCACAAGGCTGGGATGGGCTACAGGACAAAAGGCAAGCAGCTTGGTGAGAAGGCAACAACAGTTGGCGCAATTATTAGAAAATGGAAGAAGTTCAAGATGACGGTCAATCACCCTCAGTCTGGGGCTCCATGCAAGATCTCACCTCGTGGGGCATCAATGATCATGAGGAAGGTGAGGGATCAGCCCAGAACTACACGGCAGGACCTGGTCAATGACCTAAAGAGAGCTGGGACCACAGTTTCAAAGAAAACCATTAGTAACACACTACGCCGTCATGGATTAAAATCCTGCAGCGCACGCAAGGTCCCCCTGCTCAAGCCAGCGCATGTCCAGGCCCGTCTGAAGTTTGCCAATGACCATCTGGATAATCCAGAGGAGGAATGGGAGAAGGTCATGTAGTCTGATGAGACAAAAATAGAGCTTTTGGTCTAAACTCCACTCGCCGTGTTTGGAGGAAGAAGAAGGATGAGTACAACCCCAAGAACACCATCCCAACCGTGAAGCATGGAGGTGGAAACATCATTCTTTGGGGATGCTTTTCTGCAAAGGGGACAGGACGACTGCACCGTATTGAGGGGAGGATGGATGGGGCCATGTATCGCGAGATCTTGGCCAACAACCTCCTTCCCTCAGTAAGAGCATTGAAGATGGGCCGTGGCTGGGTCTTCCAGCATGACAACGACCTGAAACACACAGCCAGGGCAACTAAGGAGTGGCTCCGTAAGAAGCATCTCAAGGTCCTGGAGTGGCCTAGCCAGTCTCCAGACCTGAACCCAATAGAAAATCTTTGGAGGGAGCTGAAAGTCCGTATTGCCCAGCGACAGCCCCAAAACCTGAAGGATCTGGAGAAGGTCTGTATGGAGGAGTGGGCCAAAATCCCTGCTGCAGTGTGTGCAAACCTGGTCAAGACCTACAGGAAACGTATGATCTCTGTAATTGCAAACAAAGGTTTCTGTACCAAATATTAAGTTCTGCTTTTCTGATTTATCAAATACTTATGTCATGCAATAAAATGCAAATGAATTACTTAAAAATCATACAATGTGATTTTCTGGATTTTTGTTTTAGATTCCGTCTCTCACAGTTGAAGTGTACCTATGATAAAAATTACAGACCTCTACATGCTTTGTAAGTAGGAAAACCTGCAAAATCGGCAGTGTATCAAATACTTGTTCTCCCCACTGTATATATTTTGACCATGACAGTTTACAATCTAAAGTAACACCAAGTAATTTAGTCTCCTCAACTTGTTCAACAGCCACAGATTCATTACCAGATTCAGCTGAGGTCTAGAACTTAGGGAATGATTTGTACCAAATACAATGCTCTTAGTTTTAGATGTTCAGGACCAGTTTATTACTGGCCACCCATTCCAAAACAGACTGCAACTCTTTGTTAAGGGTTTCAGTGACTTCATTAGCTGTGGTTGCTGATGCATATATGGTTGAATCATCAGCCTACATGGACACACATGCTTTGTTAAATGTCATTGTCATTGGTAAAAATAGAAAAGAGTAGAGGGCCTAGAGAGCTGCCCTGCAGTACAACATACTTGACATGTTTGACATTAGAGAAGCTTCCATTAAAGAAAACCCTATGAGTTCTATTAGATAGATGGCTCGGAATCCACAATATGGCAGAGGTTGAAAAGCCATAACACATACGTTTTCTCAACAACAGGTTATGGTCAATGATACCAAAGGCTGCACTGAAATCTAACAGTACAGCTCCCACAATCATCAGTCATTTGTGTCAGTGCAGTACATGTTGAGTGCCCTTCTCTATAAGCATGCTGAAAGTCTGTTGTTAAATTGTTTTACAGAGAAACAGCATTTTATTTGCTCAAACACCATTTTTTCCAACAGTTTGCCAAGAGCTGGCAGCAAGCTGATAGGTCTGCTGTTAGAACCAGTAAAGGCCGCTTTACCATTCTTGGGTAGCGGAATGGCTTTGGCTTCCCTCCAGGCCTGAGGACAAATACTTTCCTTTAAATTATTAAGTTAAAAGATTAAAGATATGGTGCTGTAGATGCCGCTGTAACCCCTCCTTAGTGGGAGACAGCAGCACCAGGTCATCTGCGTACAGCAGACACTTGATTTCAGTGTTGTGTAGGGTGAGACCAGGTGCTGCCGATTCTTCTAATGTTTTTTGCCAATTCTTAATGTAGATTTAAATAGTGTTGGAACTATTGAGCAGCGCTGTTTCACTCTACGTCCCTGAGAGAGGAAGTCTGTTTGCTTGTTGCCAATTTTAACCACACATTTGTTTTTAGTGTACATTGATTTAATAACATCATATGTTTTCCCGCCAATACCACTTTCTATTAGTTTATAAAAAAAGAACCTTGTGCTAAATTTAATCAAATACTTTCTTGAAGTCTACAAATAAGTAGATTTTGCCTTTGTTTTGGTTGACTTGTTTGTGAATTAGTGTGTGGAGGGTATAAATGTGATCTGTTGTGCAGCAATTTGGTAAAAATCTAATCTGGCTTCTGCTAAGGACCTTGTGTTCATCAAGGATATGTCATTTATGATACTGCAGAGAATTTTCCCCAAGTTGCTGTTAACTGAATTTCCTCTATAATTATTTGGGTCAAATTTGTCAAATTTTTTATAGATTGGTGTGATCAATCCTTGGTTCCAAATATAAGGGAAAATACCTGCAGTGAGGGTAATGTTGAAGAGTTTGAGTTTAGCCAATTTTAATTTGTGGTATATTTCATAATTTCATTTAAAATACAAATCAGCACCACAGGCACTTTTTGGGTTGGAGAGTGTATAGTTTTTCCAATAATGATTGTTCTGTAATTGGGGTATCCACAGGATTCTGATAGTCTTTGACTGCTGATTCAAGGATTTGTAATTTTTCTTGTATATCTTGTTGCTCTGGGCTCTTTGGGTTAAAATGGTGTAGGGGTTTTGCAAAGTAATTCTCCAAACACAATTTTGGATACCCAATTCCAAGGAGTGGTCCTTCTCTTTCTCTCCCGCTCTGGAGCAGAGAGAGAGAGAGAGGAGAAGAGAGGGAGAGAGAGCGGAGGGGAGAGAGAGAGAGAGGAAGAGAGAGAGAGAGAGAGGAGAGGAGACGAGAAGAGAGACGGGAGAGGAGAGAGGGAGAGAGAGGGGAGAGGAGCGGGGAGAGAGAGAGAGAGAGAGAGAGAGAGAGAGGAAGAGAGAGAGAGAGAGAGGGAGGAGAGAGAGAAGAGAGCCGAGGGAGAGCGAGAGAGAGGGGCGAGGGAGAAGGGAGAGAGAAGAGCGAGAGCGAGAGAGAGAGCGAGGGAAGAGGGGGAGGGGGAGAGAGAGAGAGAGGAGGAGAAGAGGAAGAGAGAGGGGAAAAAGAAGGAGAGGAGGAGAGAGAGGAGGGAGAGAGAGAGCGAGAAGAGAGAGAGAGGAGAGAGAGAGGGAGAGAGAGGAAGGAAAGCGGGGAGAGAGTGGGAGGAAGAGAGAGAGAGGGGAGAGAAAGAGAGAAGAGAGAGGGAGAGAGAGAGAGAGAGGGGAGAGAGAGAGAAAAGAGAGAAAAGGCGAGAGGAGAGAGAGGGAGAGAGGGATAGAGGGGAGAGGAGGAGAGAGAGCTAGAGATCAGGGGAAAAGAGACGAGGAGGCGAGAGAGAGAGAGGAGAGAGGGGATTAAGAGAGGAGAGAGAGAGGGGGAATTCGAGGCTCTAAAACCGATAATGATGATCTAAAAGTATCTAGTTATTATACGCTAGCTCTCTCTAATATCTCTATCTCTCTCTCTCTCTCCCTCTCTCCCTCTATCTCATCTCTCTCTTCTACTCTCTCTGTCCAGGATGTTGCTGTGTGTTGCCGGGGTGGGTCGAGGGGGTCTGGGGTTGCTAGCGGTAAAGAGGGCGTGTATTCTCGCTCGCTCTGCCCACTCGTCGCCCCAGAACCTTGAGTATCGACCAATCAAAAAGGTCATGGTGGCAACAGAGGTAAGGCTCCACCCACACATGACATGACATTATAACTATGGCCATGAATGACATCACTTGTCCCAACACATTACAGTACATCTTATCCATCATTATATTATTATGAGGGCATTGCTATCCCAACATACGACAATACCTAAGGTCTACTGTATGTCCCAACACATTACAGTACATCTTATCCATCATTATGCTAAATGATTAAAATGTAAAATGTATTCTCTTATTATGAAGGGCATTGCTATCCAACATCGACAATACCTAAGGTCTACTGTATGTCCCAGCACATTACAATTCATACAAATTCATCTGAGTTACACACGATATCCTATTGCATCGTAGATCTCATGACATACCATTGCATGGCATGGCTATACTTAGAAGGTAGTGTGTGTTATATAGCTTATGATCCACGGCAAAGCTGCGCAGACACCTTGCCCAGCTCAAAAGCTGAAGCAGACACCTCGCCAGCTCAAAAGCTGCACAGGACACCTAGCATGAGCTTCAAAGCTGCGCAGACACCGTAGCCCCGCTAAAGCTGCGCAGAACCTAGCCCAGTTCAAAGTACACAGACACCTAGCCCAGTCGAAGCTACACAGGACACCTAGCCCAGCTCACAGCGCACAGACACTAGCCCAGATATCAAAGCTACACAGACACCTAGCCCAGTCAAAGTGCCGCAGACACTAGCCCAGTCAAAGCTGACACAGACACCAGCCCAGTTCAAAGCGGAGCAGACAATAGCCCGCCAAAGCTGAGCAGGGGACACATAGCCAGCTCAAAGATGCACGACACCTAGCCCAGCTCAAAGCTGCGCAGACACCTTGCCAGTAAAGCTGCACAGGGACACCTATCCAGCTTCAAAGCTGCGCAGACAACCTTGCCCAGCCAAAGCTGCACCAGACACCTAGCCCAGTAAAAGCTGCGCAGACACCTAGCCCAGCTCAAAGATGCACAGCCAACTAAAAACCTGCGCAGACACCTAGCCCAGCTCAAAGCTGCACAGACACCTAGCCCAGCTCAAAGCTGCACAGACACCTAGCCCAGCTCAAAGCTGCGCAGACACCTAGCCCAGCTCAAAGCTACGCAGACACCTAGCCCAGCTCAAAGCTACGCAGACACCTAGCCCAGCTCAAAGCTACGCAGACACCTAGCCCAGCTCAAAGCTGCACAGACACCTAGCCCAGCTCAAAGCTGCACAGACACCTAGCCCAGCTCAAAGCTACGCAGACACCTAGCCCAGCTCAAAGCTGCACAGACACCTAGCCCAGCTCAAAGCTACGCAGACACCTAGCCCAGCTCACTACTCGTGACATGATATGAACTGAGCATTAAATCACATTAGATAACAGTAGAGAAACATAGTATAACCACATCATGTTACTGTTACTCTACTTCTCAACACTTACAGTGCATTCGGAAAGTATTCAGACCCCTTGACTTTTTCCTTTTTTTTTTTTTTACTTTACAGCCTTATTCTAAAATTGATTAAATTGTTTTTTTTCCCCCTCATCAATCAACACACAATACCCTATAATGACAAAGCAAATAAAGGTTTTTAGAAATGATTGCACGTTTATAAAAAAAAATCAAAAACTGAAATATTACATTTACATAAGTATTCAGACCCTTTACTCAGTACTTTGTTGAAGCACCTTTGGCAGCGATTACAGCCTTGAGTCTTCTTGGGTGTGACGCTACAAGCTTGGCACACCTGTATTTGGGGAGTTTCTCCCATTCTTCTCTGCAGATCCTCTCAAGCTCTGTCAGGTTGGATGGGGAGCATCGCTGCACGGAGATGTTCGATCGGATTCAAGTCCGGGCTCTGGCAGGGCCACTCAAGGACATTCAGAGACTGTGTGCTTAGGGTCGTTGTCTGAATACTTTCCAAATGCACTGTATATCTCTTTTATTTTATTTTTCTTCTTTATTTATTTCTTACTTTCTTACTTTTGTTTCTTTCTCTCTTCTTTTCTCTTCTCCTTTTCTGTTCTCTCCTCTCCAGGTGAGATAGCTATCCGTGTGTTCAGGGCGTGTACTGAGTTGGGGATTCGGACCGTGGCTGTCTACTCTGAAGAAGATAGAGGACAGATGCACAGGTATAGACAGTCACCTCCAGAAATGATAGGCACCCTTGATAAAAAAGACTGTATAAAATAAATAATTGTAAATACTGAGCTATATTGTATGCTCAAAGAATTTGGACAATTATATTATTTTATACTAACACAATTGCTCAGAGAAAGAGATTTTGTTTTTAACAAGTAATGCAAGTAAGAAAATCACAGGTTTTCAATGGGGTTCTAGTCCGGAGACTGAGACATTTGTAAAATGTTGAATTTGTGGCCAATTAAACATTTATTTGTGGGTCTTGTGCTTGGAGTGTGCTTGGGGTTATTGGCTACAATGTCCTGGTACTTGGTAAAGTTCATGAAGTTGTCTTTTTTTGCTAATCTTTATCAAGGGTGCCAATAATTTTGGCGATTACTGTAGGCCTTACCTGGAGTTCTATTTATCCAGAATTCTACCTGACTATTTAGCTGACGATATTACCCGATGAGTACCTGACGATATTACAACCAGTTTTGCCCACTAAGATCATTCAAGATCATACAATGTAACACTGTAACATTGTAAAAATGCCATACCCTTCAACCCACAGACAGAAAGCTGATGAAGCTTACCTGATAGGGAAAGGTCTTCCACCTGTTGCTGCCTATCTGCATATACCTGACATCATTAAAGTAGCTAAGGTGAGTCTGAACTCTAACCCTTAGTGTGTTAGTGCTGTGCTGGAATCAAAGCCTGCACACTGTGGGGTCCCAATACCTGAATTTAAAAAGTTGGAACGAGGTATTCGGCACATACCCCAAGGCCCCTGGGAACATCTAGCCCAACCTGGTCTCAGAGCATTTTGTATTATTCTGTATGTAAATCTGAGACACTCCTATTAGTATGATGTGTTACGTTTCGTATGGTATGTATTAATTTGTGGATGTCCGTCACCATTTCGTACGATATGTTACGAATTACAATTGGTATTATATGTTACGTTTTGCTAAAACGTACAATATGTTACTGGATCCTGGACTTCCTGACGGGCCGCCCCCAGGTGGTAAGGGTAGGTAACAACACATCTGCCACACTGATCCTCAACACGGGGGCCCCTCAGGGGTGCGTGCTCAGTCCCCTCCTGTACTCCCTGTTCACCCATGACTGCATGGCTGTCACACCCTGGTTCTGGGACTCGTTATGTTGAGCCAGGGTGTGTGCATTCTATGTGTTTATTTCAATGTTGGTAGTTCTGTTGTGTCTATTTCTAGGTTGTTGTATGTTTGTATTGAGTGACTCCCAATCGGAGGTAACGAGTGTCAGCTGTCGGCTCGTTATCTCTGATTGGGAGCCATATTTATACTGTGTGTTTTCACCTTGTGGTTGTGGGTTTTTGTTCCATGTTTCTGTCAGTGTTACAGAGGACTTCACTATCGTCATTTGTTTTGTTGTTTCGGGGTTGCTTTAATTTAATAAAGTCAACATGTTCGCTAAACACGCTGCGCCTTGGTCCGCTTCCTTAGACGATCGTGACAGAAAAACCCACCATCAAAGGACCAAGCAGCGTGTCCAGGAGTCGGCAGCCTGGATGTGGGAGCAGCGTCGGAGGGACGAGAGGCACCCCCAAGAAATTTTTAGGGGGGGGCACACGGCATGGACGACGGAGGCAAAGATGGGGCGAATCCAGGAGGCCACCAGGCCAGGGGTACACCGCCCTGTACGTCCTGTGCGGATGCCTCACACAGAGTGTGTGAGGGTAGGCATTCAGCCAGGACGGGTGGTGGCCGCTGTTCACTCCAGGCCTCCTATCCGTCTCCACAGCCCGGTCCGGCCTGTTCCTGCCACTCGCACCAAACCTACGGTGCGCGTCGCCAGCCCGGTCCGGCCTGTTCCTGCCACCCGCACCAAGTCTACGGTGCGCGTCGCCAGCCCGACCCGGCCTGTTCCTGCCACTCGCACCAAACCTACGGTGCGCGTCGCCAGCCCGGTCCGGCCTGTTCCTGCCACCCGCACCAAGTCTACGGTGCGCGTCGCCAGCCCGACCCGGCCTGTTCCTGCCACTCGCACCAAACCTACGGTGCGCGTCGCCAGCCCGGTCCGGCATGTTCCTGCCACCCGCACCAAGTCTACGGTGCGCGTCGCCAGCCCGACCCGGCCTGTTCCTGCCACTCGCACCAAACCTACGGTGCGCGTCGCCAGCCCGACCCGGCCTGTTCCTGCCACTCGCACCAAACCTACGGTGCGCGTCGCCAGCCCGGTAAGGCCCATTCCTCCTCCACGCACTAAGCCAGGGGTGCGAGAAGTCAGCCTGGTAAGGCCCGTTCCTCCTCCACGCACTAAGCCAGGGGTGCGAGAAGTCAGCCTGGTAAGGCCCGTTCCTCCTCCACGCACAAAGCCAGGGGCGCGTGTCGTCAGCCTGGTAAGGCCCGTTCCTGCTCTCCGCACCAAGTCTGTGGTGCGCGTCGCCAGCCCATTCCGGTCCATTCCTGTTCCACGCACCAAGCCAGGGGCGCGTGTCGTCAGCCTGGTAAGGCCCGTTCCTCCTCCACGCACCAGGCCAGGGGTGCGAGTCGACAGACTGGACCAGGGGCGCATTGGGGGGTGTATTGTAGGGTGGTGGTCAAGGCCGGAGCCAGAACCGCCACCGAGGAGGTATGCCCGCCCAGCCCTCCCCTGTTTGGGGTTTTTGAGGCGCGGTCGCAGTCCGCGCCTTTAGGGGGGGGGTACTGTCACACCCTGGTTCTGGGACTTGTTATGTTGAGCCAGGGTGTGTGCATTCTATGTGTTTATTTCAATGTTGGTAGTTCTGTTGTGTCTATTTCTAGGTTGTTGTATGTTTGTATTGAGTGACTCCCAATCGGAGGTAACGAGTGTCAGCTGTCGGCTCGTTATCTCTGATTGGGAGCCATATTTATACTGTGTGTTTTCACCTTGGGGTTGTGGGTTTTTGTTCCATGTTCAGTCATTGTCACTGTTTTGTTGTTTCGGGGTTGCTTTAATTTAATAAAGTCAACATGTTCGCTAAACATGCTGCGCCTTGGTCCGCTTCCTTAGACGATCGTGACAATGGCCAGGCACGACTCCAACACCATCATTAAGTTTGCCGATGACACAACAGTGGTAGGCCTGATCACCGACAACGATGAGACAGCCTATAGGGAGGAGGTCAGAGACCTGGCCGTGTGGTGCCAGGACAACAACCTCTCCCTCAACGTGACCAAGACAAAGGAGATGATTGTGGACTACAGGAAAAAAAAGAGGACTGAGCACACCCCCATTCTCATCGACGGGGCTGTAGTGTAACAGGTTGAGAGCTTCAAGTTCCTTGGTGTCCACATCACCAACGAACTATCATGGTCCAAACACACCAAGACAGTCGTGAAGAGGGCACGACAAAGCCTATTCCCCCTCAGGAGACTGAAAAGATTTGGCATGGGTCCTCAGATCCTCAAAAAATTCTACAGCTGCACCATCGAGAGCATCCTGACTGGTTGCATCACCGCCTGGTATGGCAACTGCTTGGCCTCCAACCGCAAGGCACTACAGAGGGTAGTGCGTACGGCCCAGTACATCACTGGGGCCAAGCTTCCTGCCATCCAGGACCTCTATACCAGGCGGTGTCAGAGGAAGGCCCTCAAAATTGTCAAAGACTCCAGCCACCCTAGTCATAGACTGTTCTCTCTGCTACCGCACGGCAAGCGGTACCGGAGTGCCAAGTCTAGGTCCAAAAGACTTCTCAACAGCTTCTACCCCCAAGCCATAAGACTCCTGAACAGCTAATCATGGCTACCCGGACTATTTGCACTGCCCCCCCCACCCCATCCTTTTACGCTGCTGCTACTCTGTTAATTATTTATGCATAGTCACTTTAACTCTACCCACATGTACATATTACTTCAACTACCTCAACTAGCCGGTGCCCCCGCACATTGACTCTGCACCGGTACCCCCCCTGTGTATATAGCCTCCCTACTGTTATTTTATTTTACTTCTGCTCTTTTTTCTCAACACTTTTTTTGTTGTTGTTTTATTTTTACTTTTTTGTTAAAAATAAATGCACTGTTGGTTAAGGGCTGTAAGTAAGCATTTCACTGTAATGTCTGCACCTGTTGTATTTGGCGCATGTTGCCAATAAAATTTGATTTGATTTGATTTGAATTTGTAAATGTACAATATGTTACGAATTTGCAAAATGTTTGATATGTTAGGGGTCAGAGTTAAGCTAAGGGTTAAGTTTAGGAATTAGGTTAAAGGGTTAGGGTTAGGGGAAGGGTTAGGTAAAGGGTTAAGGGTTAAGGTTAGGGTTAGTGGAAAGGTAAAGGGTTAAGGTTAAGGTTAGGGTTAGGGGAAGGGTTAGGTAAAGGGTTAAGGGTTAGCTTAGGGTTAGGGAAAGGGTTAGGTAAAGGGTTAAGGTTAGGGGAAGGGTTAGGTAAGGGGTTAAGGTTAGGGGACGGGTTAGGTAAGGGGTTAAGGTTAGGGGAAGGGTTAGGTAAAGGGTTAAGGTTAGGGGAAGGGTTAGGTAAAGGGTTAAGGTTAGTAATAGGGGAAGGGTTAACTAACATGCTAAGTAGTTGCAAAGTAACTAAAAAGTGGTAAGTAGTTGAAAAGTTGCTAAAGTTGTCCGTGATGAGTTTTGAACTTGAAAACTTCGGGTTGCTAGATATTGGCATTATTACCCGTCCACCCATCCACCCCGACCAACAACCTTCCTTTCATTTTTTGCCTTAAGTAACCATCTGTCTTATGTTACCAAACGTTAACACATCATACTAAATGGGGTGTCTAGTATTTACATACAGAATAATACGAAATGCTCTGAGACCAGGTTGTCTAGCCAGAAGCTTATTACTATCCCTCCCTCCCTCCCTCCCTCCCTCCCTCCCTCCCTCCCTCTCCCAAACCCCCAGACACCATATTGCCTGTTCAGATGAATCCGTTCCCTCTTAATATAATTTCTGCTTGGGTGTCTGATCTGGCAGTCCGGTCGGGTCTTTATTGGTCCAAAATCTGCGTCCCAAATGGCACCCTATTCCCTATGCAGTGCACTACTTTAGACCAGGCTCCAGTGCTCTAGTAAAAAGTAGTGCACTATATAGGGAATAGGGTGCCATTTGACCCCAAGTCATCTCTCATTCCTCTGCTTGACAGAATATCCCTCTGTTTTGTCTGGAACCATACCCAGTGTGTGTGTGTGTGCCTGCCTATGTGTGTGTGTGTTTGTGTGTGTGTGTGTGTGTGTGTGTGTGTGCCTGCCTATGTGTGTGTGTGTGTGTGTGTGTGTGTGTGTGTGTGTGTGTGTGCCTGCC